TAGATATTAAAAACTGTTACATGCAGTAATGTCGAATAATGCTGCTCTCCTCTTTATATCAGTAGACAGTGTGGTGGAAGAGACCTTTCCAGAAAGTAGTTGATCTGATTTGCTTCATTAAGCTTAAATTAATCTCTCTGATGTACCAACCCAGGGTTGAGATCCATACAAATTAGGTCAGTTTATGGATCATGTGAGGATATGGGACAATATCCTCAGGACTATTTTTTAGAATGGGAAGTTTCCTGAGGTCGACTTGATGTCACTTCTTCTGCTCCAGAATTCTGCTGACTATATTTCTCTTTGCTTGATCAAGAGCTTTGATCTGTGCTTTGGTCTGGGCTCACTTTCTGCCCAGAATCATCTGTAAGGTAAGACAAGATGCAGCAATAATAATCCTGTTGGACAAGGCAGTTATTTCAAGATCGTACAAAAAGCACCAGAATGCTGTATTTATTTCCGGATATTCTTCAAAACGTGTAGTATGGGTTTCACTCACTTTCTTGCATGGATGAGCACCCTTACAATAGTCTCTAGTAAGAAATATCCTAGCTACTAATAGGAAAGATGATGCAAGATACACCTATGTGGTTCAACAGACACCTTTTCAAATTACTGTACGTGCTGAAGCAGGTATTCCAGGATGTCAGGATCTGAAATCAACTCAGGTTTCACCTTCGTCATCTTTGCCCTTCACAAATAGAGAATTCTTCAGTAAGATGGGAATCTTACCAATTTACAGTTTCTAAAGGGTTTATTTGTGATACAGCGTTCAAGGTGGGGACTTTCTCAGCACAGATAAAGGTATATGTAATTCAGTTATGCGTATTCTGAGTACAGCTTTGGCATTTTCGTGGCACCAATATGGGCCTCAAAATTGACTTGGGGGATGTTCTGGCATGTTGAAAGTGAGCATACAGTTGTGTGACTCAGTTATCTTCTAACTTTATATTTCATTGTTTACGCTGATAACTAATTACTTGGGTATAAATTTTGTGGTCAGGTATATCTTTGTTTGGAGAATGAACAGAAATTCCTGCTTCCATCACTTCTGTCTGAGTGAGCAGAGATGGTATAGTCCAGACCTCTGATAGGATCATTCGCCTTTCTTCCATGGGGTATAATACAAATTCTGGCTATATGAGAATCAACAAAAATCTGCTTAAATTGGTCTCTTTGTATTTTGAAATTTGAGCATAAAGTGTATTTTTTTCAGGGAAATATTCAAAATTATTAATACTTGATTGTGGTGAAGTTTTATATAAAGGAATTTGAAAATCTCCACGTTACTATTTATTGGACTAATGTTGCACTACATTTACATATGTTTTGGAGTTTTCAGATGAGAAGTCAAAGATCAAATGCATGTAGCAGGAGATACTTCTGTTGTTCCCAGACAACTGCGAGTAAAACTGATAGTGGAGGATCATGTTGTTACTGTCCGTGTTGTTTCCCCACTTAAATAAAGACAAAGGGAGGTACTCAAATTAGCACCATTTTGAGAGTCGTGTAAGATCCTTTTGTTTAATATCGTACCAGTCATTCACTGATGTACAGCAGGAGTTGAGGGGGCTTTGGCCCATTCACTAGTATGGTTTAGCGTAGTGTGCGTGTTCCAGGTCATGCACTCCAAGAGGGGCCCTGTGGCTGCACAGCCTCCCACTCCAGATCATAACTGCATCTGGAATTGTAAGCTAACTTCACTAGGCGCTGCAAAGACATAACAGAAAGGTCTTGCAGTTGGTAATACAGGGAACACGCTATTTGTATTCAGTGCTGCCTTGTTTCTGCATGAAAGGTTCATACTTAGTCTTCCTATTTTTTTTCTTCCATGTTTTAGGGCAAAACTTTATTTTACTTAATTGGGAGCAGTAAGCATTGGTGAAAGTGTATTCTGAGTTGGGCTCTTGTGGTAATCTGATTTTTCAAAAGACACTGTCAAACATGAATATCTTTAAAGAATCAGTTATTTTACAGGAATGTTTCATTAAACATTGCATCTAGATAGTTGATCGAAGAGGTCTATTTCACAAAATTCTGTGGATAACATTAAAGACTATCTGCTTTTTTCACGGAGTGTGTTACAAAGCATGCTTTCTTATCATTGGTATGCTAAAAAATGTACTTGAATTGCAGTTTTAGCTTTGCTCAAATATTGGATTGTTTTTTTTTAAGAAAAAAATTTTAAAAGCTGGATAGTATTAAATCTTCCTAATAAGCAAGTCTCTCTTCCACTTAATTTGCGCTTTTGTTGCTGCTAACAAATAATTTGCTGTATGGGTTTTTCTGTACACCATTGATAGACTATATAAGCTTGTCATCCTAGTGTGCTGGAAATGCTACACTCAAATCAAGTGTTCCTTTCTGGTTTTGTATATCCTCACCTGCTCCTCACTGTAAATCATTGAGATGTCAAGAGCAGTGATTAATTAAGCTGCACGTGCAAGTGCTTTTTTTCACCTGTCAAGTAGGAAGAAAACTTACTATAGTGAATTGTGTGATGCTGTTTAATTCATTTCTTTTTATTCCAAGCTGTGAGGCTTGCAGAAATATTTTACAGTCTAATTTTCATTAACATTTCTGTATTGATAATATGGTGTGATTTGGGAGCTATGACTATCCCAAATTACGCTACAGGAAGGATTGTATTGAAGGTTCTAGGAACGTAGAAAATCATGGTCTTGAGGCTGCATGTGTTTTCATCTCACACTAGTCAAATTACTTTAAACTGGCTTCTTATTTAAATAAAGCAATTAATAGTACATAACTACCTATCAATTTCTTATTTATGTGTATGTATTGTAATATATATGTAATTTTACTGGAATTGAAAAGCTTGGATGTTTTTCACACTTTGGGGCAAACAATGAAATTAAATTGTATAGTGATCTTAATCTATTATTAAAAGGTCCTGGAAAGGAAGATTACAAGGTAGATTCAGGTTTTGAATCAGTTTTGCCATTGGTTTAGCAGCGGGTGGGCAGGCAGATGCCTGCTCAGAGTAGAACCTATTGCCATTTTTCACCATTGATAGAGTAGCCTTTCAGAGTCAATGAGCTCTGTCAATGTGAGCTTGTCAAGGCTACAACTTCATAGACCTGAGAGGCGGTTTGAGAGGTCAGCCCTTTTCAGGTTTGCTGTGATGCAAATGAACTTTAATGCTTAAACAACTATTGGAATTTTTATGTCTGCTCCTTGTTCTTTTTTCTTCACAAAGTCATTGACGAGACATTCAGTGCTTTTTAAATTGGAAGTTGCATTGTGCTAAAGACCTAGTACAGATTTACGGAGGGCTGAAAGCAGTTAGATCATGTTCTTTTCATGGTGCGATTAGAATC